GGGGGGGGGGTACATTCCCCTTTGCAACGCGTACTTTGTTTTGTTCTCCTTTACGCATGGGAAACCCCCTTTGCCAAGAAAAAAGGAAGCGATGATTTTCTTTTGGGGTTAATCTAAAACTGGCGAAAGAAAAGAGCCGAAACCATCCTTAACCCTCCTCCCGCGCCCCCCTTCGCAAGTTCCACCCCTTTGCTAGCTCAAGTGCTTTTCGCCTTTGCCTCTAGAAAAGGCGTCCGCAGGCTTACCCTTTGAGGCCACGCAACGCCACGCAGCATTCATATTGAGGTCCTGCGGTGCCCCTTCGGCGGCCGCCGCTTCCCGCACCAGCGCGCCCGGGTGTGCGTTGCATTTTGCCATTGTGTGCATCTCAGTTGCGCCATTGGCGCATATGCGAAGAGCCCCACCCCACCCCAGATGGCGGCGGAAAGCCTGTGGGGCTGGGTGGGCCGCGCGGGCTTCCTCTTGGGAACTCGTGTGGGGCTATTTGTTCCAAACGCCGCCGGCGACCAATACTTTCACCCAATTCTTAAACAATAATGCGCACCCTCCGCGCGTGGAGGCGTCCGTGGCCAACGTTGCAGAAGTTGGTGTCTGTAATAGGAGGCTAGCTGGCTCATCTCTAAGCAAACCTTTCAGCCATTGCTGTGCTGGGTAGGCGGCGCGTGTTGTGCTTATGCATTTTTGGCAGCCGAACAATCTACGATTAGAGCCCTTTTGTTTCCCGAGTGGCCCGTGAAATTTCCATTCTTGAGAAGTGCGATTTCACCCTAACGATTGGCAGCCGCCAAAGCCAGCCTTAAAGCGACACAATCCCGCTCGTATGCCAACGTGTCGCTGACCATATCGGGCTCCCAGTGCAACATGGGTCGTGGTTCTTTTATTGAATCGCAGGCAGCAGTCTTTCAGAGGCCAGCAAGAAACATTTTCGCCGGTGCTCGCCATTTGGCCAACAGACTCATAAACGTTCTTGTGTGTTGAATCGCGCTTCTCTTGGACAACGTAAGGCTGACGCTAAAAAGGGGAACGGTTTCTTCCCGAACAATCAATCCATATCCACCCCAAACCCGCAAAAGCGGCGTATTATGGGCTCTCTTTGCTCTCATGCTGCGGGGGTCCACCTGCGCATTGCATACCTGTTTGCCTTGTATTTGAGAGCCGTGACGTACGGTTTGCGGTTTAGATCGGAAACAATGGTGGCCCTATTCGCCGATTGAAGGAAACTCTTGCGCAATATCGGTGCGTCTTCTTCTATTACAAACCCGGGCAGCCAAAAAAATGTTATGCCTTGGTGGCTCCACCTGTTTCCATGGCGGTGAAAAAGCGCCGTGCTCAGGTCTACCCCGTGATTGGTATAAGGCGCGATGAATTCAGCTCGCGTAAAATTTCTCGTGCCACACTGACCAGGATATAAGGATCCGCATAAGCTGATGGCCCCGGAATTCATTGCTTCCGGGGCCGATGCTCATTTTTTCCCGTTGTGAAGGGGCTTGCAACATTTGCATGCCAGGTACTCCTGTAATGGCCCAGCCCCCCGCATCGATAGCTCCGCACTTCGCTCAGAGGAGGGGTGGTGTGCTTCTTTTTGGTTTTTTTGAACCGGCTGCGCAATGGGGTCATCCCAAACCAAAGGCTCCCCTAAATACCCCCCGTGCGTCTTACAACGGTGCCCCGAGCTGCTTTTGGTGGCATGAATGGGTCACAAATTGAGACACAGTTTTCACCCCAACCGCATCAGCTTGGCAGTGGGCCCTGCTTTGCATATGCCGTAAGCCCAAGGTTGAAAAGAGTCCCGCGCATCGATGTGCGATTCCCTCTGCGCGACCGGCGGCGGGAATATAGGCCGCGTCGCCTTCATATGTTCGAGCGGCGTCTCCCTGCCGGTCTTCTATTTCCCATTCTTTCCGCTTCGGATCCCGTATTCTGCGCAACCCCTCGTTTGGGCGATTATGACCACCACCCCCTTTATATAGTAAGCCGTCCTAAAACCTTGGCTGGTGTGGCGTTCGTCCGCTGAGCTGCGGTGGCATGCTGGAAAAAAATTTTTTTGGGACATCTTCTGCATGACATTCTGCGAGGGGGATGGTGGAGCGATGGTGTCACACGCCGCGCCATAGTTCTATTCGCATTGACGAGCTGTATCCAGCTCTGTCGGCAGTTGCTGCAACTGTTGATATGTCTGGGCCAATTGGGTATCCATCTCATGAAACTGTGCGTTGGCAGTTTTCTGTATTTTAAGCATTTCATCCGCCAGCTTCACTCTTGCGCACTTGTGCCAGTACGCCAAGTAAGAGCTTTGCGTAGCTAATTTTGCCCATTCTGCGCTCAGCACTGAGCGTGCCCCCTCAAAAGCTCGGCCAAACTCCAGACCACACGGCCTTTCGATAGAGGCCATGGGGTGGCGCAGACCCCCCCAGGCAAACGCCTTATTCTGGTCTGTGCGCTCCTCTAGTTTGCCGTTGTTCCATGGTTAGGGCCCCATCAATGTGTTACTGCAAATCCGGGGGCGCCGATGGATGTAAATCAAAATAAAATTCTGTAGGCCCATTTTGCCGCATGAAAGAAGTAAATGCACTCGTGGGCGTCTGCCGCCCCGCCTCATCATAGGAACGCCGTGTGGTGCCTAACGTTCGTGTAAACTCCCCCGTTTTGCTCACAAAACTTACCTAAATTTGCACAGGCAGCAATTAACATCAAAATTTGATCAAAGGCGCATTATTGCGTTATGGCCAAAAGGGGGCGCCGTACCAGACCATTCCTCTTGCAAGCTGTCAAAAAAACGCCGGCCCGCCAGCGCCGCGACGGGCGCGGCCTAACCTGCGGTTTCCGATTCGGCCATGCGGGGGGATGCTGGCCCCTTTGTTCCCAAGTGCTTGCGCACCTTTTGTTTGCAATTTGGAACCTTGGTTTTCTCTTCGCGTGGTGTTGGCAAGCTGCTTGGCGCGCCGTGTTCTGCACGGGGCCAAAAACGCCCCGGGGCAATGGGCTGCGATCGCCGCCCGGCCCGCTGGTTGGGAATGGCGCCCGTCACCGTGTAAGCCACCTACCTCGCTGTGCGTAACGCGCCCCAAACGGCCCCCATAGCCATCGAAGGGCGGCATTCGCTTTTTTCGCAAAAAAAAAATATATATGCATATATGTGTTTTTTTCTCTGTGTGTGGGGGTTTTGCTCTTTTCCTTTGCCCCCGCCCCCCGGAAAAAGGCCGCGGGG